GAACCTGTTGTGCGCTGCCTGCTCTGCTTAGAGCAACCTGAAACTTCCTCAGATGGGGCAGGGGGAGGTGGGCTGTTCACCAAGGGCAGGGTGGGGCATTAGATGGCTTCAAAAAGGAATTAACTAGCTGAAAGAAACCTGCAGGGGGTGTGAATTCTCCCATTGGCGGGCTGGGCTGCATGGAACAGGACCCGCGCTCTGAACTCGGTAATAAACACACATTGCTGGTAGTAAGAAGAGGGCCTTCCTCAGATGGGGCAGGGGGAGGTGGGCTGTTCACCAAGGGCAGGGTGGGGCATTAGATGGCTTCAAAAAGGAATTAACTAGCTGAAAGAAACCTGCAGGGGGTGTGAATTCTCCCATTGGCGGGCTGGGCTGCATGGAACAGGACCCGCGCTCTGAACTCGGTAATAAACACACATTGCTGGTAGTAAGAAGAGGGCACTTTCTGAGTTAGATGAGACCTAAAAGCACAGCCGTTAGCCCCTGTGCTTCTTAAAGACCCCAGGTCGGAGTGTGAGCACATGAATATTGGCCCTTTGAAAGCAATGCAGGTTTCTTAGACGCATAGAGCTGGAAGAAACCTCAGGAGTCATCAAGTCCAGTCCCCTGCCCAAGACAGGACCGATCCCAACTAAATCAACCCAGCCAGGGCTTTGTCAAGTTGAGACTTGAAAACCTCCAGGGATGGAGAGTCCACCCCCTCCCTAGGGAACCCATCCCAGTGCTTCCCCACCCTCCTCGGGAAATAGTTTTTCCTAATATCCAACCTAGACCTCCCTCACTGTAACTTGAGCCCATTGCTCCTTGTTCTGCCATCCCTCACTACTGAGAACAGCCTCTCTCCAGCCTCTTTGGAACCCCCCTTCAGGAAGTTGAAGGCTGCTCTCAAATCCCCCCTCGCTCTTCTGGGGTATGTCTACACTACAAAGTTAATTTGAACTAACAGCCTGTTAGTTCGAATTAACTTTAATAGGGGCTACACATACAAACTGCTAGCTCGAATTTAAATGGAACTAGCAGAGCGCTTAATTTGAACTAGGTAAGCCTCATTCTATGAGTAGTAAGGCCTAGTTCGAATTAAGGGCTGTGTAGCCACTTAATTCAAACTAGTTGGAGTCTAGCCCTTCCCAGGTTGCCCTGGTGGCTACTCTGGGCCAAACCAGGGAAACTCTTCTGCCCCTCTCCTGGCCCCAGAGCCCTTAAAGGGGCACAGTCTGGCTACGGTGCTTGTGCCAGTTGCAAGCCCTCCAGCACCCAGTCAGCAGACCCTGCACTGGAAGCAAAATGGATCATAGTTGGTTATTTCTCACTTTCATCCACACAAACATTTCCTTCTCAATAAGAATGAATAATTAATGGCAGTAAATGGTTAGCAAATCAACTGTAGTTTAGCAACTGAAGAAATACTTGGTTTAAATGTTACTGTATACAGCTTAAATAAAGTACTGTTACATTCAAAACTGAGTCCAGCTGAAGGTACATACAAAAGCACTTACTACGTGCAATGCATTTGTTACCTTTGCCATAACAATACGTACCAGAGGAAAACAATTTATCCCCATGCTGAGACATCATATATAACTTTAGACCTCATACAACATTTAGAGCTGTGTCATTACCCATAGCACAGCATATATGAGTTTAGAACATAAGAATGTGAGAATGGCCTGGAGGTGGATGGACCGAAGACAATGATCAAGCGATTTGTCTCGTGCCATCCCTCTTCAGCCTCTGACAAACACAGGCCAGGGACACTGTTCCTACCCCCTAGCTAATAGCACTCCATGGACCCAACCTCCATGAATTTATCTAACTTCTCTTTAAACTCTTTAGTTCTAGCCTTCACAGCCTCATGTGGCAAGGAGTTCCACAGGTTGACTATGTGCTGTGTGAAGAAGAACTTTCGCTTATTAGTTTTAAACCCGCTGCTCATTAATTTCATTTGGCGTCCTCTAGTTCTTCTATTATGGGAACTAATGAAGAACTTTTCTTTATTCACCCTCTCCACACCACTCATGATTTTATAGACCTCTATCCTATCCCCCCTCAGTCTCCTCTTTTCTAAGCTGAAAAGTCCCAGTCTCTTTAGCCTCTCTTCATATGGGACCTGTTCCAAACCCCTGATCATTTTAATTGCCTTTTTCTGAACCCTTTCCAAGGCCAAAATATCTTTTTTGAGGTGAGGAGACCACATCTGAACACAGAACTGAAGATACAGCGTACCATAGTTTTATACTTCCCCTCCTCCCCCTTCCCCTGACTTCCCCCTTCCAGCTCCCTCCTCCAAGGTTTCCCCCTCATCTCTCCCACCCTCTCTCTTCCCCACTCCCACCTCCTTTTCTCAGTCTCCCCAGAGGTTAATCCCCGCCCCCAGCTTTGTTAAATACAGAGTTTCTATTTTTGAACACACATGTCCTTTATTTTTTACATCAGGAAGTGGGGCTAGGGAGGGGTAAGTGGAAGGAGGTGTGGGAGGTATGGGGCACGAGCCCCCGATGGGGAGGACTGGGGTGGCTCTGCAGGCTTCTCGTGCAGCTGGGCTGATGGCCGAGTGCTGTGATGTGCCGAGTGTGGGCACTCAGGGCACTCCAAGCCAGGACTGCTTTGCTGTGCCTCATCGAGTTAGACAAGCGAGCGGGGAACCCTGAGAACTGTCTGTCCGGGGTGGGAGTCGGGTCCCTTTAAGCACAGCCCTCAGCTAGCCTGAGACAGCAGCTCCACACACTAAGTCCTAACCTGATGCCCTGCCGACACTGGTTCCAGCCAGCCTTAACTTCGGTTCAGGGTCCACTCAATGTGGACATGCTATTTCGAATTAGCAAAATGCTAATTCAAATTAGTTTTTAGGTCTAGATGCACTAGTTCGAATTAGCTTATTTCGAATTAGTGCTGTAGTGTAGACATACCCCTGCAGACTAAACCAACCCAAATCCCTCAGTCTGTCCTCATGTGCTCCACCCCCCAATCATTTTGGAAAAAGACACTCCCCACATTTTCCTTGCACCCCAGAGCTTAGAGAGCCTCCCGCTAATAAACTTTGTGCTCCAGTTCCATGATGGGGCAGCAGGGGGGCTGGAGCGCCAGCACAGTCTCCCCATTGCAGGGCACACACACCCCAGCCTCACGGGCCGGATCCAGGCAAGCCAGGGGCCTGAGGTTCCCCAACCCTGCCACACTTTGCTCTTGGAAACGGTCTACTGTGTGGGGCTGGGCCCTTTCCTGAGAACTTTATCAGACGCTTTCAGATGCTTCGGCTGGAGACGTGCCATTGAAGTAGAGAGGATCAAGCCACGGGCTCTGCACTGGGAGTAGCAGCACTTGGACAACAAATCCTGCCCAGGTTGGCTGCAGCCGTCCCTGCGACGGGCTGTTGGTGAGCGTGGACGGGTTGTGTTTCGAGAGAGCTAAGCCGATGACCCGCCAGTAAAAGCCAAAGAACAAATCCCCGGCCTTTGCGTTCAGGCCGCTTTGCAGCTCCCTGTGTCCAAGGGGGCTGTGGCATTGATCCACTCCCCATCAAGCACTCTGTGACCCTCAGGAAAGCGCCGATGCTGCAGCCCGTGCCGGGCCTGAGACCGCTCGCAGATGTCCTGTCGCTGCGTCTCTTGGCCAGGGCTCGTCTCAAGGCTGCTGTGTTTGTGCTGCTCCTGTATGGTCTCCTCCCTGGGCTGGCGTTGCTTGGTGTGATCCTGGTGGGTTCTACGGAACGTAAGATGCGCCTCGCTGGGGTAGCCATCGGCACAACGCGCCTGCCCTTGCCGCCGCGCTAGACTCCAGCTGCCACGGCGCCAGAAATCAGTGAATGAGGTGCCAGAAATGAGGGGAGCCTGGCTTCACAGCGGCAGAGAAGGCTGCTGGGGCCCAAGGATGGGGGACGTTGCCGGAGTCACTCTTGTCTGCCAGAAGCAGCACGGGCGAAATGTTTCTCCACAGGGCAGGAAGACAGGCCCAAGGCCAAGGCGGGGGAAGCTGCAGTGGAAGAAGTAGAGGAAGGGGCCTGCCCCCAGCAGGAAAGAGGAGGAGTAGGGGGAAGGGGTGTGTGTGTGAGGCAAGACTGGCAACAGGAATGGAAACTCTCCGACTCTTGGTTTCCTGGCATGAAATGCAGCTGAGATTCCAGCTAAAGCCGTTGGGCTCGTGCGTCCCAGCTCTCTGCTCTCTGCAGAGCGAGGGGCACCGAATCCCGGCCTAGCCAGCACCTTCTGACACCTGGGCCTTTCAGGAGGGTCGGGGAGACCAAGGAAAACTAACTTAATAGGAGTGCGGTGGAGGCACGCTACCCTGGAGCTTGCGGGAATCCCAGCAGGCCAGGGAAAAGGCAGCAAGGCAGTTCAGAAATGTCTTTTCTCTGAGCTTCCCCAGCCAGTACCACGCCGGTCACCAGTGTGCGGCCAGGCAGCCAGGAGGAGCACGGGGTGAAACTCGGGGTCCCTAGTGCGCTAACCCTGGTGCTGCCTTTCCTAGGCCTTGCAGCAAGTCCCACCTGCCTGCCGGCCGCACTCAGGCTACTAAAGACCCGGAGCTGTCTCACGGGAGTGTAATTGATGGCTGTGCAGGGGCATGAGGCTGGCGCTCATTAGTCATTGTGATCTGGGTGCTGAGACCAAGGTCCTGTACAGGAGCTGGCTGGGGCCACCACATCCCTTTGGCTGTTCCAGGTGGGTACGTCCCTCCATACAGGAACCTCTGCTAGCGGTCACCTTGGGAGCCAACCCTCACTGCAAGGACGCATGGGTAGAGGGAAGGAGCCTCAGAAGTTAGGGGAACTCTGAAATTCTAAGGGGTGGCAGGGAAATCCCCACTCGTGCCAGCTGGTTGTGTGCCCACCCCTGTCCCCCAATCGCCTCCCAGCTCTTCAGGGGAACCTCAGCGAACATGCTGTGAGCATTGATCAGTCGCTGGCCCTGCGGCACCGGGAGTTTCCCTAGTGTGTTGTTCTGGGAGGACCACAGCATGCAGGAGGAGCTGAGCGCGAAGGCCTGGCCTCTCTGGTCCCCATCTCCTCCCCCTGTCCTCACCCCCTGGATTCTGGTGCTAGCCGCAATTTGGGGGTTGGTTTGTGTGGGGCTGCCTCGCGGCGTGAAACCAGCCAGCTGCGAGGGGCTGGCCCCAGCCAGCTGCCAGGGGCTGGCTCGCCCGCCTCCCCGCCAGCCCGCACGGGCTCTCTGCATGGGAGCCTCGCAGCAATGGGAACCCCTGGCTTTGCGGGTGAGGAAATGGAGGCCGTGTCTGTGCTGCAGCTGTAGGAACCCCGTGCAAATCCGAGCGTAGACACCTGCCTGGCACAAAGTACTGCCGGCCCTGGCGACAGCTGGTTTCTCTCTCTTAGAGGACTGCACCGTTGTCACTGCCCGTTCCCCTTGGGTAGGCGAGTGCGTTAAAATCCAAATCCCCCCGTGCCTGGCTCCTTCTGTCTCATTTGCTGGGCCCCACACTTCTAGTCTGTGTCCCAAGCAAGCGCTGGGACCCACAGACGAGATGAAACCCTTTTCAGAGGCGACCATACAACCGCCCTGCTTCCCGGGGCGATGGGAGAGCAAATCCACCAGCAGCCACGCGGAGAGAGCAGCACCAGGACCAGCCCGAGGTCGGGGAGCCGGGAGGAAAGGGGGGAATATCTCCAGCCTTTTGCAGATTGGGGTTTACCCTCCCCACACTCGTGCGGAGTGCCTGGATCACAACTGTTCCAGGCAGCCTCTGGAAATTGGTCTGAACACCCAAGTCATGGTGCCTGCTCTTTGGTGCATGGGTTCTGGTGCCAGGCACAGCACGCTGGACGGGCTGATAGCCACGAGCTGCCCTTTCTAGTCCCCCCCCAGTCCAGATCTCCTCCCACCTCCCCTTCGCATCTCATGTTTCCTGTACTTAACCCGTCCAGCTGGTGCTGACACGGGCTGACTGCAGCTGGGAGCTCCCTTCCCCTCCGACGCCTCGCGGTCTCCTCTGGCAGGAGCAACATGAACCTGAAAACGGTCGTCATCCTCCTGGTTCTGGCCCTCGCCACAATATTCGCGCTACTCGGGGTGCTGCTGACCCGAGGAGGGAAGCCAGCCAGCTGCAAGTCCCAGCCCCCGAGCAGCCAGGGGGGAGAGCACGGGGACCAGAGCCTGGTCTTCGCCGATCTGACGCCAGAAGAAATGGTGGAAGTGGTGACGTATCTCCACGACAACCTCGGGGTACCCTTGGTGGATGCCTATGATGCAAACCCCTCTGATAACTGCATTTACTACGTCGACGTGCAGCTGCCCCCCAAGGCCGAGGTGCTGGCCTTCTTGGATCACAAGGGCAGCCGACCGGCCCGGCAGGCGCTGGCGGTGGTGTACTTCGGAAACCAATTAGATCCGAATATCACGGAGTACGTGGTGGGTCCCCTGCCCCGGCCGACGGCTCACCGGGACGTCACGGTGCAGAAATACGGCGGGAAGCTGCCGTACCACCGCCGGCCGGTGCTGGGTAAGGAGTACGAGCAGATTGGAACCTTCCTGCAGAAGGAGGCGTTCTCCGCGGCCCCTTCCTTCCTGAGCCGAGTATTCAACTACGATGGGACCAATTTTGCATCCCTAACCTCAGCCCCGCGGGGGTTCCGGTCCGGAGACCGCAGCACCTGGTTCGCTCTGTTCCACAACGTCAGCGGCTTCTTCCTGCACCCGGTGGGGCTGGAGGTGCTGGTCGATCACAGCCGGCTGGATGCCTCCCAGTGGAGGGTGAACCGAGTGTTCTACAACGGCCAGTACTATGCGGACTTTGCACAGCTGGAGAGCGAGTTCCAGCAGGGCCGCATCAAAGCGGAGGCCGTGAAGAAAGCCCCACCCGACGGGGGATTCTCTTCCTTGCAGTCCCGAGCCACCCCCGCGGCTCCGTCCCCCCTGCAGTACGAGCCGCAGGGGCCCCGGTACAGCGTGCGGAACAACCACGTCGCCTCCCAGCTCTGGAGCTTTGCCTTCGGGGTGAACGTCAACACGGGGATGCGTCTGTTTGACATCCGATTTCAGGGGCAGAGGTTGGTCTATGAGATCAGCGTCCAGGAGGCCATATCAGTCTACGGGTCCAACAGTCCCACAGGGATGATCACCAGGTACATGGATGGGAGCTTTGGCATCGGGAGATTCACTTACTCGTTAGTCCGGGGGGTCGATTGCCCCTACTCAGCCACCTACCTGGACACGCACTACTTAATAGAGAGCCGGACGCCCGCAACGCACAAGAACTCCGTCTGCATCTTCGAGCAGAACACGGGGACCCCGCTGCGGCGCCATTACTCCAACCTGTACTCGCTGTACTACGGGGGGCTGAGCCTCTCCGCCCTGGTCATTCGCTCCATTGCCACCCTGGGCAACTACGACTACGTTTGGGATTTTCTCTTCTACCAGAACGGGGCCATCGAGGCCAAGGTCCACGCCACGGGGTTCATGACTTCGTCCTTCCTCCACGGCGACGGCCTGGACTACGGCAACCGGGTCGGGGCTCACACGCTGGGGACGATCCACACCCACGCCATCCATTATAAAGTGGACCTGGACCTTGGAGGTAGGTCTCGGCGGCACTTTCCTTTCCTGTTTTGGGCCCCCGCCTGTTGGTGCTGTAGCCCCCGGATCAATTGAGATTTGCTAAATGGGGTTACTACGGGGCGAGATTCCCAATACTACGGGGCGAGAATCCGGATTTCCCGAGTCCGGCATTGTTGGGGTGGCCCCGTGGAGCCAGGAGCGTTGCCAGACTCAGGCAGGGGGAGCGTAGGAGTCCCAGGCTGCATGGGGCTGCTGAGGAAAGATCCTGGTGGCAGGGGGGCTGCTGGGCAGAGCGTGGAGCCCTCCCAGGTGGCGGCAGAGCCGTGGGGAAAAAGCAGAGCCCTGGGTGGCCACAGAGCTGCAGGGAGAAGGGGCAGGGGAGGAAGCGCAGAGCCCCAGGAGGCAGCAAGCAGCCAGGAGGAAACATGGAGATCCCAGTGTATTGACCTCCCTGGTCCGGCCAGTTCCCTGGGACGGGACCACTCGGGTGCCGGACCAGGGAGGTTCAACTTGTAGCAATGTGTGAAGTGCTACTTTTCCTTCCTCTGGTCTAGGAAAGAGCTGCCAGGTGTCTTGCCCATCAGTGGCATCCGATTTCAGGGGAGATCAGTGTCCAGGAGGCGATGTCGGTGTACGGCTCCAGGAGGGCCGACAACCAAGTCCCTGGATGGAAGCTTTGGCTTTGGGACATTCCCTTACCCGTTAGTCCGGGGGAGGAGGTCTATTTCTCCTCCTCGGCCACCTCCCTAGATGTGCCCTCTCTGGCGTCCTCAGTCGGGTTATGGTGAGGAAGAGAATCCAAGCCACGCTGGGGAACACGGGTCGTTCCACAGCGGAGGGAAATTAACGCTAAGTCATCTCTGTTTGTTAAAACCAAACCCGATGAACCGGGAAGAGTTCTAGAGACAACCACTGAGTTTAAATTTCTCTTTTTAGTTTCTAAGCCTTCCTGCTCTTTGTGCATGGGCTTCCCGGTCGAGCTGTCTGCTCTCAGCTCTCTGGACTTCCAACTGTGTGGGGGACTGAGCCAGAGAGGCTGGAGGGCTGCAGGGAAATGTTGTTTATCCCTTAAGATGAAAGCGACCAAAAGCGCCGGCTTGGATAAGACCCCGGGTCTTGAACTCCCAGCTGTGGCTCTTTGGTTTCCTTGCCCTCCCGGGTCTGGCAATTCAGAACTCTCTGTTTCCAAAAATCTCGGTGGTTTCCCACTCTGTGTGGGGGACTGAGCCAGAGAGGCTGGAGGGCTGCAGGGAAATGTTGTTTATCCCTTAAGATGAAAGCGACCAAAAGCGCCGGCTTGGATAAGACCCCGGGTCTTGAACTCCCAGCTGTGGCTCTTTGGTTTCCTTGCCCTCCCGGGTCTGGCAATTCAGAACTCTCTGTTTCCAAAAATCTCGGTGGTTTCCCACTGTATTGTGAAAAGTCTCCGAGGGGTTGCGGTGTTAGTCTGTACCGTCAAAAGTAACGAATGGTCCTGGGGCACCTTAGAGACGAACACAAATCTATGTGCAGAATCCTGAGCTACCACGGGTGGAACCCGCTTCAGCTGATGTGTGGGGCTGTGTTTGCCTGTTCCTCTACTCGGCTACCCCCAGAGCAGTGTTGAGAAAGAGAAGTCAGGAGGCAAGTGTGCGTGCGAGGAAGGTTGTTTGTAGCCGAGATGGCTCCTCCATCCTCCTCCCTTCTCTCGCTCTGGTCCCCTCTTCAGCTCTAGGCACCAGGAGGCATTTTGAACAGACGCGGGGCAGCAGATGTACCAAACCCACACTGAAAGATGCCATGGAATGTGGATCGATACTGTGGGCGGGTGTTCCCTCTAATTTTTTTTCCATCTGTGTGTGGAATAAATTTTGTTTTGCGCGCCCAGGCATGTGCAGATGTGCACCACCAGTAGCAACACACGCTGGTGGCTGTGGGCACTCTGCTAATCAGCTGGGCAGCAACCGGATCTCTCCCATGCAGCCGCTCAAGTGCTCAGCTCACAGGGAACACTGCTGCGGGCTGGGAGAGCGACAGGACCGCCTGCCAGAGCAACGCCGTCCTAGCTGCTGCAGGAGACGTTGCCAACCCACGAGTGAGCCGGGGTGGGTGTGTGGATGTCACTGTAAAGAGCAGTGTCCCCTTCCCTTCTGGATGAAATGGGAGGTCATGCCCCGGGATCATCCTCCCCTCTGTGTTCCAGCTGGAGCGTGCAGGAAAAACCGTGCAGTGGCACAAGCCAACCTGAGAGAGAGCTTAAAAGGTGCTCAGCCCATTGCGTCCTGTTACAAGACCCTTCCACATTGATGGGTTGTTTAGATCCCTCCCCTGCCACCTGTATTCCAATACCCACCATCTCCTGACGCCGTGAGAGGAAGGCGGGTATCCATCCACGGACACCTCCGGCTGGGGTCTGCTCATGTACCTAGGGCTGACTGGCATGGACCGGCCCCCCCGGCCTGTGGCTGTCCCATTCAGCCAGCAGAGAGCAGCATTGGAGCAACCAAACGTAACCCCCGCCACAGAGGATCAGTTTCTAGCAATCAGAAGAATCTTGCCTCTCATCTTCCAGCCCTGAAGCGTCTGGATGAGGGGATGGATTGCACCTCAGCGGGTGACGCTAAGCTAGGGGGAGAGGTAGATACTTCGGGGGGGCCAGAGTGACCTAGACAAATTAGAAGATTGGGCCAAAAGAAATCTGAACAAGAACAAGTGCAGAGTCTTGCACTTAGGACGGAGGATTCCCAGGTGCTGTTACAGGCTGGGGACCAACTGACTAAGCAGCAGAAAAAGACCTGGGGATTCCAGGGGCTGAGAAGCTGGAGATGAGTCAACAGGGCGCAATTGTAGCCAAGAAGGCTAACGGCGTATTGGGCTGCAGTAGGAGGAGCCTTGCCAGCAGATCTAGGGAAGTGATTATTCCACTTTCGTTGGCCCTAGTGTGGCCACATCTGGAGTATTGCATCCGGTTCTGGGGCCCCCATTGCAGAAAGGATGTGGGTCCATTGGGGGGAGCCCAGCGAAAGGCAACAAACATGATTACGAGGCTGGAGCACATGACCTACGAGGAGAGGCTGAGGGATTGGGGCTTGTTTAGTCTGCAGAAGAGAAGAGTGAGGGGGGATTTGAGAGCAGCTTTCAACTTCCTGAAGGGAGGTTCCAAAGAGGCTGGAGAGAGGCTGTTCTCAGTGGTGGCAGATGGCAGAACAAGGAGCAATGGGCTCAAGTTGCGGTGGGGGAGGTCTAGGTTGGATATTAGGGAAAACGCTTTCTCTAGGAGGGTGGAGAAGCGCTGGGAGGGGTGGAATCTCCATCCCTAGAGGTTTCTAAGTCCCGGCTTGACCAAGCCCTGGCTGGGAGGATTGAGTTGGGGTTGATCCTGCTTTGGGCAGGGGGCTGGACTCCATGACTCCTGAGGTCTCTGCCAGCCCTGGAATTCCATGCAGAGCCCAGGAGTCCACATACTGAGCAACTGGGGTTGCTGGGGCTCTGCCATCGGCGTCGGGTCTCTCCCCTAGCCCTCACCTCCAGCGGGTTTGAGTTCCTGCCTTGTGATGTGCGGCTCGCTCCATGGAAGCTGCCGGAGCCTTTCCTGAGCTGTGCCCAGGTCCTGCCTTGGTCCTTCTGCTGTGAGATTCATCTGGCGGGAGCTGACGACAGCGGGGGCTGGGGAGGGAGTTCTCTGCCGGAAGTGGGGCTCACTCCCCCAGGCCCTGCTGCCGCTTTCTGCAGGGGGCACAGGACCCTATGGGCTAGGTGGGGTGTGAACATGGCCACTGCACGGACACGCTTACCCTCCAGGTTAGCACATGCGGTGGGGCATTCAACCCCCTTGGTGTTCATGTGGAATGCAGGGCTGCCGAGGAAGTCCAGGAAGGGTTTTCTCAGAGGCATTTTTCTTTGCTTTTTAGGGACGGCAAACAGGCTAGTGGCCCACGACATGGCCTTCGAGTCTGTGCAGGTACCTTGGAGCCCGGAGCACCAGATCCACCGGCCTCGGCTCACCAAAAGAGTCCTGCACACAGAGGACGAGGCTGCATTCCCGCTCCATTCCAAGATGCCCAGATACGTCTACTTTGCAGCCAACAGTGAAAACAAGTGGGGTCACCAGCGCGGCTACAGGATCCAGATCATTAGCTTCACTGGGGACCATATGCCGGAAGCCAGCCCCATGGAGCGATCCATCAGCTGGGAGAGGTAGGCAGCTTTCCTCTAGAATATACCATGTAGCTCATGATGATGCATAAGGCACTTGTGGGGGTCCAGGGGCTGCATGGTTCAGGCACCGCTAGAAAGCTCTTGAAAACTATAATAAAAGGGTGTCACATTCCCTCTTACCAGTCGGCGGGAGCTAGGCTCTGTCAGCTGTTTGCCGACTCCTTGCAGTTTAAAGCCACGGCTCTGTTGCAACCTGGATTTGAATTCTCTGCTTCATACTGTCCCCCCACTTCTCCCAACGCTCCTGAACTGTGGACTGACACACCCTCTGGTTTCGCAGTCCTGCCTCGCCCTGGGCCACAGATCAGCCAGTGCTTCTCAGTCCGTACCCACCATTCCAGTCCTGGTCACCCCCACCCCCATTCTGCTGATAGAATCCTAGAGCTGGAAGAGACTTCAGGAGGGCATCAAGTCCAGCCCCCTGCCCAAACCAGGACCAATCCCAATGAAATCAACCCGGCCAGGGCTTTGTCAAGCCGAGACTTAAACACCTCTAGGGATGGAAATTCCACCCCCTCCCTAGGGAACCTGTCCCAGTGCTTCCCCACCCTCCTAGGGAAATAGTTTTTCCTAATATCCAACCTAGACCTCCCGCACTGTAACTTGAGACCATTGCTCCTTGTTCTGTCACCTGTCACCAGTGAGAACAGCCTCTCTCCATCCTCTTTGGAACCCCCCTTCAGGGAGTTGAAGGCTGCTCTCAAATCCCCCCTCACTCTTCTCTGCTGTACCTCACTGACTCCTGGCTGTTGCAGTCTCTGGCTTTGTCTTAGTTAGATCCTGCCAGGTGGGCTGAATTTTGCGACAATAGGTTTGTGAGGTGCACATTAGGGTCAGAGAAGCCTGCGATGGAAAAGACCCATTGCATTATCTAGCCCAGGGGTGGCCAACCCATTACAGATGAAGAGCCAAAATAGTGGATACAGGGCAAAGAGCTGAGGGGAAAAAGTTGTGGAGCAAAAGCAAAAAAACAAAAATGGGGCCCCTTTCAGAGCTGCGTGTGGCCCAAGCAGGCTTCCGTCGGCCACAGCGTCAGATCTCGGAAAAGGAAAAAAAGTCAAAGCAGGGCACCGAAGTAGAGCCATGGGTACAGGAGCCGAGCCACGGGTACAGGAGCCGAGCCACGGATGCAGGAGCCGCAATTTTTTCTTTGAAGAAGGGTTGGCTACCCCTGATCTAGCCCATGCCGCCCTCCTCCCAGACAGGTGCGGTCAATGTGGCATGATCCCGAGGCAGGTTAAACCTCTCTAGTCCGGCACCATCGGGATCTGATCGATGCTGAACCAGAGAATTTGCCAAACTACAAGAGGTGAATATTGTCTAGGACCGTGGTCCCCAACACGGTGCCCGCGGGTGCCATGGCGCCCGCGGGGGCATTTGCATGCGCCCACCAAGTGCTCGGGGCTGGCCTGGCCCCCGGGCACATGGTGCACGGGCGCTTGCGGGGGGGAGCGCCGGCCCCGGCCCCGGGTGCACGGTGCTTGGC